AGGTAAAGAGGAGAAGGTAGAAAATGATTGACCAGAGCCTCCAACCTACTGCTGCCGCCCTAAGGCCCAGTCTTTGCCAACTGGTGAATTAAAGAACTGGTGGAGGTAAAAGACTAGAGAGAACAAGCCAGCCACCCCTGACATTGGCCTCCTGTCCACTCGGCTAAGCCCACAAAGTGTGCCCTTACGGCAGGAGTGCGACCGTGAACATAAATCCTCTGTGTCGTAACAGTGAGTGTAAGATCATCCTGAAACCATACCATCAGGGCTCAAATCCTGTCTTTCACAGTTACCAATGTTTGGGGCCCCTGAACCCTCTGAGCCTCTGTTTCCTCAACCGACCGATGAAGAAAACAGTGCCTACCCCACAAGATTGTCCTGAAGACTGAGTTCGGGCATTCCAAACACGGAGGCGCCTAACCTCAGCAAGGAGCCAGCGGGGCTGCTGCTCACCGTCAGCTATGCTCGTGTCTGCTCCAATACACACTGAGTCTTAAAGTTTCGCTTTAAAGATTTCAAATCACAGGAAATACTGAAGTTATTAAATGTCACTTTTAAGTTCTGTTTTTCAGTATTCTTCTGGGTCTCTTCCCCCCTCCCCCATAGTCAGCTAAGACAGACAGACAGACAGACAGACAGATAGATAGACAGATAAACATTTCTAGTAAAGTTAGAGAAAAGTTAGCAGCCAGGCATGGTGGTGCAACACCCAGGGAGGCAATAGGCAGGTGAATCAATATGCATTTGAGTCCAGCCTGGTCTATAAAGGGAATTCAGGTCAGCCAAGACTACACAGAGAAACCCTGCCTCCAACCAAAGAAAGAAAGAAACAAACAAACAAACCCAACCAACCAAAAACCAAACCAAACCAAACAAACAACAACAACAAAAAAAAAAAACCCCAAAAAATTACCAGCCACCTCGGTGCCAACTCCATGACAATGGGGTGTGTATGGGTGAGACACCTGGGGGCTATAGCAAATAGAGGTGGGGAGGTAATGAGCTGCAAGCTTGTGCCTGCTGGTGACTGTGAACAGGCCTCTTCACCTGTCCTCCACTGGAAAAGATAATAAGCCACTGTCCCACCTGTTCTGACCTGGCGTAGTAAATTAAGTAGAAACAGGGAAAAGCCCTCTTAACTCCTAGGGCATTAGCTAAAGGCTAGGTCACATCTTACACCTATTTATGGAATTTCACAGCCCCACAACAATAATCTCTTCCATTTCAGATGGTTTTCAAATAAACCCCAAATGATCCCTGCCCACAAGGGAAGCCACAGCAAGGGCCTTTTACAAGTGCTAACAAGAAGCCCATTTTCTTTAGGAAGCTGGAGAGTAGGCATTCTTTTGAAAACTCTCAAAATAGCCCCAATCCATTCAGGAAAAAAACCTCCTTTGAAAAGGGGAAGAAAGAACTCCCTACCACTCCGCACCTAAGCGCAATAGGTCACTCCGCAGCAAAGGCTTTGCATAAAGGGAGAGCAGAAGACCCTGCGGTTCTGGTTCGGGTCTGGCCAATCCCTGTTATTCTGATGTCAGGGGCTTGCTTTGTCCTTCCTGCTCCCCACTTCCCTCCTGCCTTGACAATTTACAAAAGGGCTTAGAAGTTATATTTCTGGCCCAGTGACTCTTCCTGCCACTGCTGGGTTTGGATCCGATTTAGCCCACGGAGCAGCTGGTGATGCGACCAGCAGTGCCAGGGGGAGGTGACAATGCTGCTTCAGCTCCCTCAGCCTGGATGTCACAGGACAACTCAGCCTGCCCAAGGAGAGACAGGACACCTTTCCTTCCACCTCAGAATTCAAAATCACCATGTTAGGGACAAAAGGAAGGGGGGTGAGGAGCCAGGGAAAAAATTCCACCCAAATGGCCCCTGCCAAGCCTGTTAGATACATGCCACTGGCAGGTCTCTAGTGTACCTGAGGTGTCTGCTTTTTGCAGCAATCACCAGGAGGCCAGGAGCCACAGGAAGGATTGTCTTCTTCCACATAGTTCTGTCCCTGACCCACACAGCTAGGCGATGAGATACTGAGGATGCTGTCAGTTATTTATTTATTTGTTTCCTACTTTCTAGGAGTTGTTGGGTTGGCCCCTCCCATTTGCACCCAGATCTCACGGAAGGGTGAGGTCGACCTTTCTTAGAGAAGTGTGGGAGCCCAAGAGGAGCCATTTGTCCCATCAGCTTGGACTGACTGAAAGTGAGGAAGACACTACCCTTCCCTGTGCAGGTGGGAATTACTCTACTCAAACGAAGGCCGAGACACAGAACTGCAGCTGGCCTCACTCACAGCCTGGGGTTGCCACAACCCCAAACGCTGCTCACTTGCCTCAAGACCACAGTCTGTTTGTCCAGCGTTGACCCCAGCAAGGCCTGCCTTAGAGCCAGGCTGGTTCTCAACAGGCTTCACGGCTGTCACTGTCTGAAACTGCCTGTCCTCCTGTGCTGGAGGCCCCCATCTTCAGGCCTGGCCCAGCACTTCAAAGCCACATACCAGTCTCTCTCCTGGGAGCTCCAGAAAACTCCAGGCTTGGGCTCTGTGCTCTCTCGGGGGCCTCTCTCCAGTATGAAGAGCAGGAAGAAAGTTCTCTAAGGTTCCAATGCCCCCAGTGACTTACTTGCTTCTAGAGCTTTACTGGCATCTATGGAGGATTTGAAGCAGCAACTTATCCTTCATGGGACACTTAGCCAAACAGAAACTCCCCTGAGAATGAATCATGGCACACTTGAAGACTAAACCAGCCTATCCTCAGGCAGTATGAACTGAGCCAGAAATACCAATGAGAGAGCACACCAATATGACATTGGTTGAACAGTGGGATCTGACTCCAAACTGGGGGAAGGCCACCTCTCTAGACAATAGCCAAAACGGTGACAAAGCCAGTTATTCTGGTAGCCACAAAGATGTCCTCACCAGTCCTGGCTGCTTTGCCTTATGACATACATCAGTATAGTGAAACTTTAAAGCCAGACATCCAAGGTGGGTGACTTGTTATTTTTATACTGCTGTGAAGAGACACCATGACCAAGGCAATTTATAAAAGGCAGCATTTAATTTGGGGGCTCACAGTGACAGAGAGTTAGAGTCCCTCATGGCAGGGAACGTGCAGCTGAGAGCTTACATCTCTCGCAGCCAGAGGCAGAGAGAGGAGAGAGATAATTGGAAATTATAAATAAATGTGCACTTCAAAGCCCACCCTCAGAGACATATTCCTCCAACAAGACCACCCCTCCTAATCCTTCCCAAACAGTTCCACCAACCGGGGACTATGCATTAAAATATGTAAGCCTACGGGGCCCTTTCTCATTCAAACCACCACAGTCGACTCAGCCAGGTGCCACATGACTGCCAACTATGTATCATGCTCCATGTCAGGCACCAAGGATGCCAGGAAGAGTAAGACACAGCTTATATCCTCAGGGATCACAAAATTTATGAAAGGAAACAGATGGGAGAGTAAGATACTACATGGAAGGAGAGATGTCATAATTGAACCGTTAATCCAACCCAACCCCATGACACTGGAGGGAGTCCAAATAAGGCTGGGCATGGTATGCTGTGTAAATTACTTACATCCTCTAGCCCCGAGCTCTCCATCCATAACACTGGAATTAATAATAACACAGACGTTTTTACAATAATAACTGGCATAGGATGCTTACCTTCATTTATTTATAAAATAAACAAAAATGATTCTCACCCTTTGAGTTAACCAAACAATAATGCACTAACTTTGTGCACAGATATAAATGAGTTTTAACCCTTCTCACTCACACAAACATTCTCAAAACACTCAACCCTTTTTTTGAGACAGGGTCTCTCTACATAGCCCTGGCTGGCCTTGAACTCACAGAGCTCTGCCTGCCCCTGCCTCCCGAATGCTGGGATTAAAGGCATGTGCCACCAACCCTGGCTGGAGACTGACTCTTTATTAGTCACCAAGGTGACTACATAATTGGTTGACCAAATCAGGATATCTGTGAGAGTGGAAACAAAAAGAAGAGCTACTAATCCCACCAAGGCACCAAGGTAACACAGAAGCGCTATTTTAAAAATTATATTTTTAAATACTGAGCTCACAAGCATGATGTATATTTGTTGCACAAAGTGATACATTTCATAATGATGTTTTTGATAAACTACATCATGCACTTTAACCGTACTCTCTCCCCACAACACCTACCACCCTCTCCCATTCCTCCTCCCCTCCTACATCTCCATTTCCCTTTCCTATATAGATATCCTCCTATTTTTAAGTGTTTGTGCTTAATATATATATATATATAAAACCTAGGTTCTATATGAGAAAAAAATGTGATTATTTGTTTTGTAGGTCTAGCTTATTTTTCTTAACAAGAAAATCTCCAGCCAGTTCTGTCCATTTTCCTGTCAACGACATAGTTTCATTATTCTTTATAGCTAAATACATATATTAGAGTTATAGATAGGTAAATTTATGTATATATATATATATACACATAAATGTACCTATCTATATATACTATATATATAGTATATATATACTATATATATACATATACATATACATATACATATACATATACATATACATATACATATACATATACATATA